GATGGATTTTCAGTATTATATTATAAGATACTTCAAGTATGTAAAATGTATTTAAAAGACACTTTTTCACCAGTGCTATATTAAGCAAATGGTGCTAAATTCCCATTTAATAGACAGTTCTTCTCGGTTTTAGGGACCGTTTTCTGTTCTTTCTGAGAGCTGTTTAGAAAAGGATTAAGAAGAAAGTAAATGGCTACCGCACCTTACACGGGCTGCCTAGACTCTAGACCAGAGGTTCTCAAACTGGGTGCCGCGAGCGTATGCCAGGGGTGTCGCGGCAAAAAATCAAAAATAGTCCGCTAAAAATGGTGACATTATTAAAGAAGGCTTGAAGATACTTACTGTTTAAGTTGTCCTTCCTTGCCACTGTCGAAAATAGTTTATTTCTTGTTTCACACTAAACGGGTATCATACTGCATAAAAAGCCAATCGCAACGTGCTAAGAACTGTCCTTGTATTTATTAGGTATAGTTGTGATTCCATTTTGGCTGAAATTTTAGGGTTGAAAATGTCGTCTACACAGTAGTAACTGATAGCCTGGTCAAGTAAGTACTTATATTTGCAGGCAAGGTTTTGTTTTTGTTTTTGAGTGTGTGCTTGTATGTGTGTGCGATGATTGAAATGCGAATTCGATTGCATTCGTTCGTGTTTGGCTTTATTTCGGTTGGTAACGAACAGGCTCTGGAAGGGCAGTACGTAAACTGTCATAGAAGTCTTCCTAACGGCTGCTTTGTTCCGTGCAAATTAAAGACTTATCTGGTATGCGGTGATTCTGATTTAGAACATGAATGTTAAGAAACACGTCCAAACGCTGCTCTATATCTCTTCAGGGAGGGTCATCCATAATGAAGAGAATTTCTAAAAATAAAAATGAAAAGGATATAACGACAAATTCATCCAAACAGTTTCAACAATCGCATTAAAGAAAACTAAACATTAAATCTCCACCGCTTCCCCCCCCCCCTTTTTTTCCCTTCTTTCCCTAGGTTTTCAACTGCTTTTAGTGTAGGTGTACCGCGATTTTTTTTAAAGCCCCACAAGGGTGCCGCGGCGAAAAAAGTTTTAGAACCCCTGCTCCAGATTATGGTAATTAGCCAAATGTAAAACGACATGCGTAAACTAATTCTAACTCTTTGGAAATAGATAATAATTAATCAATAATAATATTAATTATAAATGATAACTAATGTAAGAGGACGAGCAATTTCTGGCTGTTCGTCCACTTCTGGGCCTTGGTCTTGTTCCAGAACATCGGTGCTTTGTGCACATCCGATCTGGCTATCTGTCTGCATATTGTTGGTTTTCCGCCTCTACGGCAGATGCACCTTGACTCTGAAGTAAACACCCCTAAGTCGACTATTGTGCCCGCCCCCTCCCCGCAAATGGGTCCCTGGAACCCACACGGGATATATAACATAAAGGGGCTTAGCATTTTATATATCAGAATGTCCACTAACTTAAAACAGGATCCTTAATTAGACGTTCACATGGCTTCAAAGACTTGCCACGGGAAACAAATAGGGTGTCGGACATTGAGATGAACTCCTGTGGATTATAGCAATTAAACCCCGTGTTAAAATCGATACCGACCCTGACAAGTGGCATTCTGATTGAAACGTCTTCTGTCTGAGGGTGGCAAGAGTGGAGATCATGCACTGTCATCGAGTAAAGGTCAACCCTGCAGACGCAAATGTCTGAAAGTTTGTCACGTTAGAGATGGGGGTCAAGCAAAAGTATGGAGTTAGCTGCAGCGGGTTTTGATACCACCTTCACTACCACCACCACCACTGCTACGACTACTACTACTACTACTACTACTACTACTACTACTACTACTACTACTACTACTACTACTACTACTACTACTACTACTACTACTACTACTACTACTACTACTACCACCATCACCACCACCACTACAACAACAACAACAACAACAACAACAACAACAACAACTACTACTACTACTACTATTACTACTACTACTACTGCTGCTACTACTACTACTACTACTACCACTGCTACCACCACTACTACCGCCATTACTACTACTAATACTACTACAACCACAACTACCACATCAACAACAACTACTACCACAACAACAACTACTACTACTACTACAACCACTACTACCAACACCACCACTTCTACTACTACTACTACTACTACTACTACTACCACCACCACCACTACCACCACCACCACTACCACTACTACTTCTACTACTACTACTACTACTACTACTACTACTACTACTACTACTACTACTACTACTACTACTACTACTACTACTACTACCACAACAACCACCACTACCACCACCACCACCACCACCACCACTACTACTACTACTACTACTACTACTACTACTTCTACTACTAATACTACTACTGCTAATACTACTCAGGCTACTAACTCCCCTCTTTACGCCTGGACCCGCTGGGCACTTGCCTGGGGCAACCCTGAACATAGGAACCTCATGCTAATCTGTGTATGTCAATTGACTTACCATAATGGTAGTCAGAGAGGCCCTGAGACATTGGTTCACCTGTGGGCCTATAATGATGTTAAGACGGCTCTGTTGATGCTAACACTGTTGCTACTGTTGCTGCTACTACTACTATTGCTGCTACTACTATTATAAATAATAATGAAGTGTTTGCTGTCGTTTCTTACATACACACCAATCATCAAGCGCAAAAACAAGTATCTATACAGACATTTAGGGAAACAAACAATATTTGTAATACAGCGTTCTTGCAGGGAGTAATTTTACGTTTTAACGATTGATAAACAGATTAAGAAACAGCGAATCATTAAAAGTCTATCTGCGAGAGACCCATACAAGCCACACATCAGTGAAGCCAGTAAGAAGAACCTAGCTGATCGATTTTCTGAACTCATTATGGGCAACACCAAAAGACACCCCAAGCAGTGATGTCTCCTTTAGAAGAGCTCCAGTCAGACATATTTCAATCACAGCTATCAAGCCGTTTTTAGATGGAAAGGTCATGCATCTTATCCAGAATTGTGTAATTCTGAGCCAGAAATTCATTCCGGCGTCTGTGGCTTAGTCATTTTGAACGCGCTTTGTGATTTCGAAATTTCTGGTTCAATTTCAGCTGCAGGCGTTTTGGCAACAAATCGCTTTGCCTTAATTTCAACAACAGCCTGGAACGCCGGCCGGGGATAACCTCCCCCCCCCTTCCCCCCCCCCCATTTCCCCCAACCCGCCCTCAGGTCACGCATTGGCTGGCCAATAGACGACTTCGCCTGCAGGCAAGGGGAAAAGGGTCTTTTAATTATTTATTTACTTCTATACTTGATACAATAGACTCTATAGCCATAGGTGCAAGAAACTCAACACTGGGAATTCAGAACTTTGCCAGTGTGCATAGGCACCTCAGAAACACTGAACATGTGCTACATACATGCTACATACATGCTACATACATGCTACATACATGCTACACACATGCTACACACATGCTACATACATGCTACATACATGCTACATACATGCTACATACATGCTACATACATGCTACATACATGCTACATACATGCTACATGCATGCTACATGCATGCTACATACATGCTACATACATGCTACATACATGCTACATACATGCTACATACATGCTACATACATGCTACATACATGCTACATACATGCTCTGTACATGCAGTTGAGCGATCTCAGATTTGGCTGGTAGGCATTCCAGTGGAAACCAAGCTGTGGAAGACATGCATGTCGTACTTCATAGAGCCCTGATGTATTCTCATTTAAAAACCATTGGCAAGGAACACGAACAGAAAAAGAAAATTTCTGAGGTCATTTCCATTTCATATTTTAGGCCATAGTGGGAACCTTTGGTCAGTTAAAAAACATTTGCCTTCATTGGGAAGGAAATTCATACGTTTTGGTCAGCAGACAAGTGTGTTGTCACTTCCCTGTTGTGGCTCATTTTATCTAACAAAACTATAATTTATTCTGGAATGTCGGCTCTGTGGCTAAGTCGATACGAACGCTTCGTAATGCCGGGGTGCCGGGTTCGATCTCAGCTGCAAGCCATGCGCCTTGGGTTGGTTTCGACGGTGGAATCAGGGGACAGCCGGTCCAGACGCAATGGCAAACTACTAGACGTAACTTTGCCTAGAGAAACCACACAACAGCTGGGGCTACTGTGGTTGGTTCTGCAACGTCCTGTAAAGGTACGCAACTAACCTTTAACACGAATAGGGCTTGCTAGTCACCACCGCTTTTGCTGTAGGCTTTGATATCCATGCCTGACTGACTGACTTTTGACCCCACCAGGACATCACATTGAGCGATAAACACCCGGTGACATAAAGTTCTATCATTCAGATGAGGATCACACGTGGAGAGGTCCCAGAAACCCAGTTCAACCAGTTGGTTATATTAGGGCCTCAAGCAACAACCAGGGTGGGGCTTCAAAACAACGAAAAATACGTCCCTCTTGGGGACAAAGATTAGTTCATCCATGCTTAATTATACCACAGTGGAGCACGATTATCTGGAATGACGGAAAAGTACCAACCAAATGTTGAATATTTAATTACGAATCGATACCATAGCACTCGGGACACTGCCATAAACGCTCCGTCCCCCTCTTCAGCATCAAGCAAAGAGTTCCAGTTCCGATGGTGCCAGTAACTATCTGATTCTTCATGCGTCTCACCTTTCTTCCGAGTGTCGCGCGTCTACCAAATCCCCCCCAATTCTCCTCAGACCGTAATGATTTATATGCGCCTCCGCACTGCTCACTCCCTCCCAAAGGGCCCTGACAACAATAGCTTCTCATTCATCAGTTCACCACCAAGTGGTGCAGAACCGACCAGTCTATCTGTCTGCTCATTTCCCACAACATTGGCATAACCTGGAGATAATACCCTAGACCTCTGAAGTTGTGTGCCAACTAATAGTCGTACAAAACTTAACTACTGACGTGTGCTATTTTGTTTTCCTTTGCAGGGGAAAGGAATGCACAACACCTACTGGCTGGTGGGAAAAGAAGGATTTGATAAAGAGCTCCCGGAGCCACCACCTTTAGTTGGGTAGGTTTGCATGTAAAAACTCCTCTACTTCTTCTTTTCCCGCTTTCTTGGCCTCATCTTTCACGTAATATTCTGGTTGCTGCTGTTTTTGTTGTTGCTGCTGTTGCAGCTGCTGTCTGTTATTGCTATTTTTGTTGCCGTCGTCATTGCTGTTGCCGCGAGTGTTTTATTCTTTGGTGTTAATGCTGTTTGTAATGCTGCTGTGATTCACAGTATTCTTTCTGCTACTGCTATTGTTGCTTCTGCTAATATCATTGAGGCTACTGCAAGTGTCATTGTAACTGCTGGAAGTGTCATTGTTACTGCTGGAAGTGTCATTGTTGCTTCTGGAATTATGTTTGCTGCTGGAAGTGTCATTGTAACTGCCGCAAGTGCCATTGTTGTTGCTGCAAGTGTCATTGCTGCTGCAAATGTCATTGTTGCTGCTGGAAGTGTCATTGTTGCTGCTGAAAGTATCAATGTTACTGCAGGAAGTGTCATTGTTGCTGCTGAAAATGGCATTGTTGCTGCTAGAAGTGTCATTACTGCTGCTGGAAGTGTCATTGTAACTGCTAAAAGTGTCATTGTTGCTGCTGGAATTGCTAGTTTTGCTGCTGGAAGTGTCATTGTAACTGCTGCAATCGTGATCGTTGCTGCTGCAAGTGTCATTGTTGCTGCTAAAAGTGTAGCTGTTGCTGTTTTTTGTCTAAGATGTTCTCACCAGTGTTGCTACTGTTCTTGTCGCTGTTATTGGTGTTGTTTCTGTTGATTTTGTTGTTGCTGTTCTGGTTGTTATTATTGTTGTTACTGCTGTCGCTCTTGCTGCTGTTCTCGTTAATGCCGCTGCTGTCATCAAAACTGTTATTAATATTGTTTCTGTAAATGTCATTGTTTCCTTTGTTGCTATAACTGTTGGTTTAGTAGATGATGTGGTTGTTGACCTCGTAGCTGTTTTCTGTTGCCCGTTTTGTTATAGTGTGTGCTACTGTTTATCCCTGTGGAAGCCATGCGTCGCACTACATAGAAGCCCACGGTCTTCTCATCTGAAAACTATTGGTAAGGAACACGAAAGGAAAAAGAAAATTTCTTAGGTCATTTCCATTTATCATATTAGGTCATCATGGCAGCCTTAGGTCATTCTGCATTAGGTTGCCAAAAATGTTGAAATACAAATCTTTTAAACATAAATCAAACGCGTGATTTGTGTCAGTTTTACAGCAGTCGTCGGTTCTGTGGCTAAGTCGATGCGAACGCTTCGTAATGCCGGAATGCCGGGTTCGATCCCAGCTGCGGGCCATGCGCCTTGCGTTGGTTTCGACTGTGGTATCAAGAAAGCCGACCGTCCAGAAGAAATTGCAAACTACTGGACGTAAATTTGTCTAGGAAAACCACACAACAGCCAGGGACTGTTGGGGTTGGTTCTACAATGTCCTGTAAAGGATACGCAACTAACCTTATAGCAGTCAGGTTACAGAAAGTGTCCCTTAGTATAGTCCTTTCTGCTAATAATATTTTTTGGGTATTAAAGTACCAGGGAAAAGGGGCAGGGGCCGACCAACACGAAGCTGGGCTTAGGATATAAGTGACTCCTTGAATTTGAAAGTACATAAGGCGGAAGAGATGACGAGAGACCCTGTTTCTTTTAGGCAGACCGTGATGAGAGCGACGTTCTGCACAGTACCTGCTACATGATGATGATGATTTATAAGTTAAAAGTATAAGTCAGCACTATTTCTAACTATCTGAAGAACCTGTACATTTTCGGAAAACAATATTTTTAACCAAAACCTATTTATGTATAAGAGTAACGAACAATGTCCATACCCGTAGTGCATCGGACGTTTGGTGCTTTACCCTAATTTAATATACCATTAGGCACCCGGTTTTTGTTGTAGTAAATACCTACCGTCTTTACTTCTCATGACATTTCCTGGTACCCATTTTAGGTTGGATCAACGAGGGTGCCAAAGTCAGTTATAAAGATGTGCCTTAATTTGGACTCGAACCTAAGATAGCAAGACTGAAGGGATATATCTATCTTGACATTGCATTACCACGTCTACCTTTGTCTGTATGTTCGTGTGCCTATATTTGCCTGTCCATACGAGGATTACAGAATGCTGCTCCTATTCGATGCCATTAAGAAGTGTGGCGACCATCTTTAAAATTTCGTTAGGACGTCACCAAGTTCGTCTGCAACACAAGGTCATATTCGTCTGCAACACGAGGCCACATTCGTCTACAACACAAGGTCACATTCGTCTGCAACACGAGGCCACTTTCGTCTGCAACACAAGGTCACATTCGTCTGCAACACGAGGTCACATTCGTGTGCAACACAATGTCACATTCGTCTGCAACACGAGGTCACATTCGTCTGCAACACAAGGTCACATTCGTCTGCAACACAAGGTCACATTCGTGTGCAACACAAGGTCACATTTGTCTTCAACACGAGGTCACATTCGTCTGCAACACAAGGTCACATTCGTCTGCAACGCAAGGTCACATTCGTCTGCAACACAAGGTCACATTCGTCTGCAACACAAGGTCACATTCGTGTGATACATCGAGATCACATTCGTGTGCAACACGAGGTCACATTCGTCTGCAACACAAGGTCACATTCGTCTGCAACACAAGGTCACATTCGTCTGCAACACGAGGTCATATTCGTCTGCAACACGAGGTCATCCTTGACATTCTTTTATCAACAATATTTATAGGTTTTAAAATAATGGCATGGTTATTGTAATTTTTAACCACACTTTTAAGGTTTTCATTCGTAGCCCACTGGTATGTGTATTTGTCTGTAGTTAGAATTTGCGCCTATTTACATGTTCGCATGTGTGACTAAATGCATGCTTATTTGTATGTGCCCGTCAGTATTTCTGTGTTTGTGTGCGCGTATATCTTCTCGTGTGTTTGCTGGTGAGTCCGTGCATTTGTGTTTCGCAATATTAATCTACCTGTGAAACTGAAAGAGAGAGAGAGAGAAAGAGAGAGAGAGAGACAGAGACAGAGAGAGACAGAGAAAGAGAGAGAAATATATATATAGAGAGAGAAATAGAGAGAGAAATAGAGAGAGAGAGAGAGAGAGAGAGAGAGAGAGAGAGAGAGAGAGAGAGAGAGAGAGAGAGAGATATGAAAAAATATGCCTGAATAGCATTTCTTGTCTTATCAATATAATTATTTTTTTTTCTCCTCCCTCATTACTGTCTACCATGCTGACAGTGATAACACACATGGGTAAGTGCGTTCACTTCTAATCTGTGTTGTATTTTTCTGTGTTTGTGTGTGTGTGTGTGTGTTTGTGTGTGTTTGTGTGTGTGTGTGTGTGTGTTTGTGTGTGTTTGTGTGTGTGTAGCACAGCTCTCTTCTTCGTGGCGTACGTTGATGTTACACCCAGGTTCGTCTTTAGGTTTGCTACAGGAGTCGATTGGAAGATTATAGACGAGGAGAAAGATGGTCGTGTCGATAGTGGTGCTTCTCACGTGACTCTGATGCTTGTATAATAAAATGGCTGGAAACAGTTCTCGTCTACACTGTCGTCTTTATTGCGATACTACAACAATGTCACAAATACGTCAATGATATTCTGAATAGCGCTGTGTTCTCTCTATGGCTAAATACTCGTAGGTTCGCGTTGTGTTCTTCCTCTCTAGTTACTTTGTTAACTGGTTCTAGTGTCTCTAACTGCCACCTGGCTTCTAGTGCTGTTGGTACTAACGGCTTGATCGTCGACTCTATAGTGTTCCTAATGGGTCTCTGTTAACCATGGATCCATGTATCTTGTGTGTCGTCTTTGTAGCTCGATGTCTCGTTTCATGTCTGCTCTCCAGTGACTGTCTTCGAGGTTACATATGAACGGCTGCTCTTCTTCCAGTGTTGAGCTGGCATCGAGGATCATTGAGACTAGTCGCTCGTCCTCTGAGTCTCAACGACTGAAGGTTTCTAGTGTTGAGCTAACATCTCTACCACTGAAGGCTGTCTTTGGAGCCCATGTGACTGGCCTCTCCTCTCTTGAGTCTTGTGGACTGAAGAATTGCTAAAGTGCTTTGTGCCTTTTATACTTGGATGCTGGAATGCTATGTATTTGTTTTCTTCTCGCTTTGTCTGCTTCTAGAATATTCTAGTACGCCTCAGCTTGTTTACTAGGTAGGTTCTCACGTGGGATTTGCTAATTATATCTCGATTGCATCAGATTTCATCATCCTATTCTACGCAGATATAGTAGTTAAATTGACAATTGAGGTCACAGAAGCTTCTAAAAAAACAAGTGCAATTGCGTTTGCTTTGATAGGGCACGACAACAAAGTATTTACTAGTACGACAGGGTTAGGTCACATGATGAAAAGAATGCATTTCAAAACTTCTAGAAAGAAGACCAAGGCCAGACAACCTCAGTTTGATGTCAATAACTTGTTTTGGCGGGAAAAGAAGATTCTGGAAAAGGGAATGTCAGGGCTGCTAAAACTTGTTGATCTCCTAATATTCTAGCTTTATGCCTCCTAACAAACAAGCTATGAGCTCACTCTGTTACATGTGTTTGTGTGTGTGTGTGTGTGTGTGTGTGAGTAAAAAAAAAAGTAAAAGTAAAGGACGCCTCGTGTCCACGTGTCAGGCATTTTAGGCATAGAGGGTTAGATAAGCCGCCTTTACTTCTCAGAACTGCACCAGGTACCCACTAAGGGGCCATGACGAATTAGAAAAAAATAATAGCATTGTACCAGGAAGGTGGGGAAGGGGCTGAGCAACACGAAGATAAACACAGAATATAAGTGACTCCTTGATTATGGAATAACACGAGGCGGGAGGGCGATGTTCTGCAAAGGACTGCTATATGATGATGACTAGACAATGGCAAGGTTATTGTAATTTCTATTACTCTTTTAAAGTTTTCATTTGAAGTTCCTTGGCATGATGCGGGTAAGGGAAGAGCTACTGAAAATGGCAAAAGACAGGAAGGAGATCGTAGCATGACAAAAATCACAAGTTTGTTGTAGTCTGTACTTGTGTAAAGGCGCGATAGATTCTGTAGCAAAGTATGAACGAAACTTGAAACTGCAACGATTTAAGGAAAGTAAAGTAAAGGACCCTTTTCCACGCCTTTAGGCGTTTCGAGCATAAAGGGCTAGATCTATATTTTATAGACCAATCAGCACAATCAAATAGTGGGTCAACTATCTCCCCTGTTGACACACAAGCAGATACCTCGGAGTACTAAAGTGAATCTTATCAGAACTATTTTTTGGCCAACACTATGCTATCAATGCCAGACGTGGACACTTACATCCTCCAATGAACGTAAAATTGTGACAACAGAGATGAAATGCCTTAGAAGAGCTGAAGGAGTTTCAAGGAAAGACAGAATACGAAATCATTAAATCAGACGAATGCTAGGAATAAAGCCAGTCTTACAGGTCATCAAAGAACAACAAATAAAGTGGTTTGGACACCTAACAAGAATGCCCTGGTACTATCCGCCACAGCGAGCCACAGTAAAACGTTACAACGGGTATAGAGCGAGTGGAAGACCTCGGAAAATATGGAGTGATGGCATAAAGAACAGCCTTACAGAAATGAACATTAGTCTTAATAGTGCTCTTGACAGTGCTCATCAACGAGCATTACATCTCCCCCCGACACTTCGCTGAGGTACAAGGTGGAAGAGAAGAAGAAGAAGCACAAGGTAGGTGAGGTGATCAGCATCACAACTGCCGCCTTTACTTTCCAGGACTGCCCCCCCCCCTCCCACCCCCCACCCCCGGTATCCATTCAAGGCTGGGTCGACTTGGGAGCCAAGGTTATTTTTGAAAAAAAAAAAAAAAATCCGGCTCCTCCAGGGGGCGACCCCAAGACCTTTGCAACGATGTACACTTTAAAGAGAAAGAATATTGAGAAAGCTGACAGATTTTAAAGAAAAAAAAAAAAAAAAAACTACGATAATGAGAGTTACAGGTGTTACAGGGTTACTCACAAAAACTTGAAATATGCCCAGAATTTACGAAACACGTAATTAGAATTTGTGAAATAGAGAAAGTAACTTGAAATGGGAAAATGGTCAACAAGAGAAAAAAAGAAAGATAAATAAATATCATTATGGATGGTTTAAACACTTCTGCAAGAAATAACAATGTCTGCCACCTCGTCAAAATATCAGATTGCAGAGCAGATTAGAAAGTGATTATTGACGAGATTTGTTTTAGAATTGGCAATGTAAAAAATCATAAGTAACTATTAACCTCAATGAGAAAGAGAGAAAGAGAGGGGAAGAGAGAGAGAGACTGGGTGACAGTGAGAGAACTGTATATCAAGACAGAAATTAAGAAAACAAAACTGAGAGAAAAAAAAGTTAGACATAAAGGAAATCAGAGAGACAGAGAGTTTGAGAGACAGAGAGACTGAGAGAGAGAGAGAGAGATCGAGAGAGAGAACTAAATAATGAAGGATTAGGAGAGAAATGGGGAGATAAAGTAAGAATTAAACTGGGACAGGGAGACGGAAACAGAGGGAAATAATCAGTGAGAAAAAGAGAGAGAGAGAGAGAGAGAGAGAGAGAGAGAGAGAGAGAGAGAGAGAGAGAGAGAGAGATAAAAAGATTAAGAAAGAATGAGAGATTTAGAGTAAAACTGAAAAAAGGAATTTGAAAAATAAATTGAGAAAATGAGAAAAAAAGAGAAAAGGAGACTAAAATATAGAAAAACACATAGCGAATAAGAGATAACGACAGTTTGAGATAAAGACAGAAAGATAGGAAAAAACAGAGAAACATTGAAAGATAGACAATGAAGGAGAGCGAAAATTATCTAGAACATCTGTATTGTAGTCTATTCAACTCTGCTGTTAAGTGTAAATTGAGAAACAATGAACAGAACCATTTAGAAAACTTAAACATTCAAGCCGAAATCAGTGACTGACAATGTGCAGTAGATTTTACAATGTAAAAGTGTCTTGAGAATTAAAAACTACCAGTGAGTAGGCTTTGTTTTGACTTTGTACAACCGCATTGTGCATACATATAAACAATGAATAAATAGGTTATAGCTGAATGAAAACTCATAGAGATATCCAAATACGAAAACAAAAGGCAAGAGTAGCTTTCGTAGCACTAGGGAATTTGTATAGGTTAAAAAAAAAATTACAACTAATACTAAACCTAATATTTATCATTCTAATGTCAAATCAGTACTGTTGTGTGGAGCGGAAACATAAAGAACAACAAAGGCAGTTATTAATAAACTAAGAACATTCATTAAGTGGTGCTTGCGCAGAAAAGAGGGAATTAAATGATATGATAGAATCATAAATGTAGAGCTTTGGGAGAGAACTTCCAGTGGCCCAAGAGGTGAAGAAAAGATGCTGGCGTTGGATAGGACACACGTTAAGAAGACGAGAGCAATATAACTAGAATGTCTTTGCACTGGAACCCAAAAGGGGCACAGGAATAAAGGAATCCCAATAAATGAAGCTAGAGAGTGAGTTTAAAGGACGTAGGGAGAGCTGCATGCTAAAGCGAAGGATAGCACGATTTGACGTGAGTTGGTTGAGGGCCTATGCTCTATCGAGGGTCAGCCCTAGCAGCAAATAAACTACTAACTGCACACAAAAAGGCAGTATTATACACGCAAAACCTAAACAGTCAGAACTTTCTTCCGAAGCTTCCAGTGAACACAGAAGAAGAAGAAAAGAGGAAGAAGAAGAAGAAGAAGAAGAAGAAGAAGAAGAAGAAGAAGAAGAAGAAGAAGAAGAAGAAGAAGAAGAAGAAGAAGAAGAAGAAGAAGAAGAAGAAGAAGAAGAAGAAGAACGAAAAGAAGAAGAAGAAGAAGAAGAAGAAGAAGAAGAAAAGAGAAGAAGAAGAAGAAGAAGAAGAAGAAGAAGAAGAAGAAGAAGAGAAGAAGAAGAAGAAGAAGAAGAAGAAGAAGAAGAAGAAGAAGAAGAAGAAGAAGAAGAAGAAGAAGAAGAAGAAGAAGAAGTGAAGATATTTTGTTATATATATAGACGAAGAAAAAGAACATTATGGCAGGTGAAGATAAATAGGAGAGCATACTTGAATGAGACCCAGATAAACCAATGGAGGTTAAGTATGTAAAAAGATGCATTTGCTAGTTAAAGGTTATGCTACAGGAAATGCTGAAAGGGAAGCCTGCAAGAGGAAGAATATATATATATATATATATAGATAGATAGATAACAAAAAGGGGTGGGGTGAAAAGGGCTTGCGTGTTTTTGTAGTATAAATAAACAGG